GAGAGAGGGGCAAAAGATAAGTAATTAAATGAAGGGCTTGATAAAAAAAAAAAGAGGTTGTGAGAAAGGAAACAATGTGGAATACCGAAAGAAAACATATGAAATTATGTAAATTTTGAAAAGCATTCAGTGATGGTATATACTAAAGTAAAAAGGAAGGTGGGGGGAGAACAGGTAGGGAAAAGAATCAGAGTGAAAGACTAAAAAGTGAAAAGAAAAAACGGAGCATATCCCAGACTCACCTTGAAGTTCTCGGGATCCACGTGCAGCTTGTCACAGTGCAGCTCACTGAGCTTAGCAAAGGTGCCCTTGAGGTTGTCCAGATTCTTCAGGCCTTCACTAAAGGAATTCAGCACCTTCTTGCCATGGGCCTTGACCTTGGCGTTGCCCATAACAGCATCAGGAGAGGACAGGTCCCCAAAGGAGTCAAAGAACCTCTGAGTCCAGGGGTAGACAACCAGCAGCCTGAGGGGTGAGAACAGCACAGAGGACAGGGGCGTGAGAGCTTGTCAGAAACCCAGGGGACTGAGCCATCTCCACCTGCCCAGCTTCCGTTCACTCTCCGTAAGCCTGCCTTGCCACCTGGATACCAACCTGCCCAGGGCTTCACCACCAACTTCATCCACGTTCACCTTGCCCCACAGGGCGGTGACGGCAGCCTTCTCGTCAGCAGTCAGATGCACCATGGTGTCTGTTTGTGGTTGCTAGTGAACACAGTTGTGTCAGAAGCAAGTATAAGCAGCAGCTGGCCCTGCTCTTCCTTTTATGCCCAGCCCTGATCTTACCCTCCCTGGGGCTGTGAGCAGATTGGCCCAAGGACACAGCAGAAGCTTATTGGTTTGTGCGAATGTAGGTTGCATCCCCATTCCTCAGTTCCCTTCAGTTGCCCTGAGGGTGGCGTTCTAGGTGTTGTGTGTCTTGACTCAGAATCTGTGCTTTCTCCCTCCCCAATTCATCCCCTTCGGCAGCGGCTTCCATAAAGATACTACCACTCTCATTCGTGTGCAAATGCTGTTGTCTGATATTGTGGAATGTTTCTCAGAGTTTAACTCATCTTGTTCTTTCACTTCATAGATAAGAAAACTAAGGCCTAGAGAACAGAAATGTTATCAAGTTGACTCTATGTGGTACTTCTCTTTGTCTCTAGAGATATTTGTAAGTGGTTGGAATGAATAAATGCTTTACCATACTTTTAAGTTGCTTTCTTTCTCCTTCTTTGGATAAATACTTCTCGTAACAAAACTCTTTCTTTCCATTCTTTCACTGAAATAAATGTCCATTGGAAGAATGAAAGTAATGAATATTGTTTGTCTACCAGCTACTAACATAGATCTGGGGACCATGGATTTAATGGAAACAATGAGAGATAAAGAAAAAAATATCAGAAACCTATAACATGATTTGAAACTATGATATGACTAAAGAAAGAATGCGGAGGATTTGCAGTGAAGATTTACCTTATTCAGCCAGTCCGACAGGGTTTCTGGGAAAATGCAGGTGCAGAAATTTCCAGCTGTGTCCTCAGGAAAGAAGTAGAGTTAGATCTAGAAATGAAGATTCAAAGGGAATTTTAGTCTTTTCTGAATTCAAAATAATATTACATTGACCCACCGATACATACCCTCTAGTACAGCTAGATGGAAGGAGGGAAGGAGGGAGGGAGGGTGAGAGAGATCAACCAACAGAGAGGAAGAGACTGGAATGGGATGGATGTCAGAAGGCAAAGAATATAAAGAGGAGGAGACAGATAAGCAATTTCAAAATTTAGCAAGGATGTAGATCAGGAAAACTCTCAGGCTTTGCTGGTGACAGTGTAAAATGATATAACTACTTTAGGAAATATTTGGTAGTAGCTACTACAGCAGAATATATGCAAAACCTATGAGCTGGCAATTATTCTTCCAGAAATGCAGAAATGCATGCTTATGCGAGTCCAAAGGCTGTAACATCAGTATGCATGATGATTCCAAACTGCTAGCCACTTAAATGTTCCTCATTCAGGGGAATAGATAAAGCATGATATAGAGAAAGAACAAAATATTACACAATGATGAAAAGAATCAACTACTGCTTCACTTGCAGAAATACAGATGAATTGTACAACATAACGTCAATTAAAAGTAACCAGAGGTGTTCCTGGGTGGCTCATTCAGTTAAGTGTCCAACTCCCGGTTTCGGCTCAGCTCATGATGGCTGTGAGATCTAGCTCCATGGTGGGCTCTGTGCTGAGCATGGAGCCTCCTTGGGATTCTCTCTCTCCCTCCCCCCACCCCCTCTTGCCGCTGGCCCACCTGCATGCACAGGCACTCTCTCTCACCCTCTCTAAAAATGAAAAAAACAAGATAAAGCAACTAGAGACAATGATTCAATGTATATAATTTATATGCAGAAAATAGGACAATGTCACAAGGGGAAGTGTTATATGATAAGAAGGTGCGGAGGAGCCATGGGTGATCTTAAAACTATGTTACAGATTATCTGTCTTTAACCTGAAAGCCAAGAAAAACTATTGAAAACTTCAAGGATGTGGGTGACATGATTTGATTTGTATTTTTTTTAAAAAAAAATTATTCTGGCTTCCATATATAAATGGGTTTAAGGGGTAAAATAAATGAAAGACAAATAGGATGATATTATAGTTGGGGGGGCGGTAAAAATGCCATCTCTATTTCAGGCTCAAGCAATGAATGATGCGTTGGTCCCTAGATGGGGAACAGATTAGCAGGAATAGATTAGGAAACAGTTGGAGGTTTTTTGTTTTTTGTTTTTTTGACATATTGTATTTGATGCACTCTTGAGCAATCAGATATGGACCATCAAACAAATAGTTAGATATATGGGTCTGGAGCTCATAAAGAATACAGTCAGGTCAAGAAAACAAAATGGAACAGGGCACAAAGGAACAGATCAGAGTGTATTGTATAAACTGTTACCACTACCTTCTCAATAATGACAGCCAAAGCACTTTACAGAGATCTCCTTAAAACCTTGGAACCTACTTGCGAGGTTGGAATGTTTATTCCATTTTACAAAGAACTTCATGCTGGAAAATGTTAACCAAACTTTTCAAGGTGATGGGGCTGGATTTAATCTTTTACTGCTAATCCGAAAGCCCTGGCTTTTCAGTTCTATGCCGGGGACTTGGGTACAGAATTTGAAGTAATGGCTACAAAAGCGGACGTGCTCAATTGCCAGCTCCAAACAAGAGACTTCTAGGCATTTTCTGTCCTGAGAATAGACTTTCCTCTTTTCATTCACCAGACAGGAAACCCAGCTATCATTGGTGATTTCACCACTCTCTACTGCACTTCATTCCAACTCCTGTGGGATCTTGGCCACAACGGCCCCTTACTTGAGTTGTTCTTAGTTTCATTGCTTCTGTGAAGTTCAGTCCTTTGCCCTCATTATAATCACAGCACATTCCTGTGGCTAGATCCAAGTTAGACCCTGCCTTGTCAGTTCTATACCCACACATGGATCCGTTTCCCTAAAATTCCCTATTCACCATGTTACTTTTGTGTGCAAGAAATTTCACTGGTACTTTGCTTATAATAATAGCTTCTTTTCCGGGCAGTAGTGTCCCTAATTCTGTATCACTGCACTGCCTTTTTTTTTTTTTTTTTTTTAGGTTTTATTTATTTATCTGTCAGAGAGAGAGAGAGAGCACAAGCAGAGGAAGGGGCAGGCAGAGGGAGAAGCAGGCTCCCCACTGAGCAAGGAGCTGATGCAGGACTTGATCCCAGGACCCTGGGATCCTGACCTGAGCCGAAGGCAGATGCTTAACCGACTGAGCCACCCAGGCGTCCCGACTGCACTGTTTTTAAGGGGCCAGTTTCTCTTCTGCCACTTAGACCCGGCATGCTAATTCCTAAATCTGTCATTTTCCCACATAAATGGCCTTTTATCTTCACTGAAGGCTTAATGAAATCGGAAATATGTTACAGGTCACAGAGCTAGCAGATAAGGTACAGTTTCAAACCAAGGCAGTTAGTTCTCATGCTTTAGGGATAGTTCCTCCATCAATACCAATGAAAACACCAGGGAAAGTTTAAAGCATGGTCCTTGCCTGGGTCTCTTGGAAGTTCCATCTCTACTATATCACAGCTGATGAAAACATGTTTTTTTATATTGTTTAGTATAAGTGAAATATAGCATCAAAAAGCTCTGAGATTATAAAAATAGCAGCCTAGACAGGTCCCCTCCTTGGAGTTCTAACGTGCCCCTACTCACTCTATCAACAATCTTCTTGCATTTCTCAAGAGTACCTCCATCTGCTCCCTTCTTCTGAAGACACTATTCAGTTCCAGAGTCTATTTTCCCTTCCTAGAAGCAACTGAAGCCCCTTGAAGCCTCTCTTATCTTGCAGAATCTTATGAGTCTCTTCTCTAACCTCCCCAAATAACCCCCTTCCCTAAAGAAGTGCTTTCTTTTAGCTGAATCAGCATAAAAGATAAAGACAGAGAGAGAAGACAAGGATATTCATTACCGAGCACAATTTTTATTTTATTTTTATCATATAGCAGTTGGGTCTGGAAGCAGGGCACTGTGCCCGTCTTCAGGAGACGGACTCTAGGAACTCAGGTCCCTCTGGTAAACCCCGACGCAGTTGGACCGGCACTTCAGTGGTACTTGTGGGCCAGAGCATTCGCCACAGCAGCTGTCAGCTTCTGCCAAGCCGCCTGCATGTGGGGGGTAAACTCCTTGCTGAAGTGGGTTGCCAAGACAATCGATATCATGTTGCCTAGAAGCTGGGGAAAGAGTAGGATAAAAACAAAAGAGAGCCTAGTGAACAGAAAGTTTCAAGCTGGCCGCATCAATTTTCTTCCTAATAAGAGAGCGAGCAACTTTCAGGGCCATGTTCCCACAAAAGCGTGCCATAATATGCTGGACATTGGCATCAGTGTGACTCCCAGCCCTGTACCTCCCATTGTGTTCTAACCTTCTCTCATTTGCCCTGTCAACTTCTAAGCCCAAAACGTTGCCATGGATGGCTTCTCTTTTCTAGAGACTCCGTCTTTTTTAAAAGTAGGATTATAGGACTGTAAGGGGCCTTAATATGTATAGTTTAAGTCCCCAGATAACACATTCATTCAAATTGTCTGTACACTCACATGACAAAGAATCTTGAGCCATGTATACAAGAGCATTTCATCACTACTAAGGCGGGGGGGGGGGTCAAATTGTCCATTGAAAAGATTGCTCTTATATTGTCTTGCTTAGACCTGGTTCTAAACTCAAGAATCATACAGAAATGTATGCATCATTTTTAGAGAAAATTTCAGTTACCAAAAGTAAGATGTTCTTGCTATAATTGTATTCTCCCAGCCAAAAACATTTAACTCAGTTCTGGCCAGTGTTCTTCACACACGTATTTTTTCAGAAACGTAAGACGGCTAGTGGCCTCCTCTGGTCAATAGTAATTACCCTACTTGGTCTTATCTATGACCTTTGGAACAACCGAACTACCAAAAGCAAGCCCTTCCTTGAAATATAATGTCCCAAAAAATGCTTTTATGGGATCAGACTTAACTACCTGTGTTTTCTAACATATCCACACTGCAAATATCTAGGATGAAAGACAACGCACAGGCATGCCCAGAACTCACCTTGAAGTTCTCGGGATCCACATGCAGCTTGTCACAGTGCAGCTCGCTCAGCTCAGCAAAGGTGTCCTTGAGGTCATCCATATGTTTAACAGCATTTCCAAAGGAGCTCAGCACCTTCTTGCCATGGGCCTTGACCTTGGGGTTGCCCATTATTGCAGACTCAGAGGACAAGTTGCCAAAACTGTCAAAGAACCTCTGGGTCCATGGATAAACAACCAGGAGCCTATGGGATGATCACAGTCACAGATGAGATGGGAAATCAAAGTAGGTAAGAAAACTGACCAATACCCCTTTAGGAATACTTTCTGCCTTTCTGCCCCCCTCCAGTACCTACCTTCCCAGGACCTCGCCTCCAACCAACTCCACGTTCACCTTGGCCCACAGGCTAACAACAGCAACCTTCTCCTCAGCAGTAAAATGCACCATGGTGTCTGGGAGCTTACTGGTGACCAGTAATGTGCCAGAAGCTAGTCTGTGTTGCTACTTCTCTATGTGGCCTTTTATTCCTCATTTCTAGTTTCCAGGGCCTCGCTTCTCCCAATGAAATGAGACCATTGGTCAAGGGTAAGCTGTCACCAGCAGGGGTGGGGTTTGGACAAGGGAGGGTCAGCAGGATGGACATCTGGGTCTCTGATAGCGTTCGGTGGCTCTATCAGGGGGATTCTGCTGTCCTTTCCCCACCGTCTACTGGGCATTTCCTATCTCAAGCTCCCCACCCCATTATCCTTGAGGTGACCTTGTAGGCTGACCATGAGGCATGACTAGAATTAAGAGGGGTAAGAATTAGAGATCTGTTGGGCAATGTGTCAGGTGTTTACAAGATATCATTCAGTTGTTCTCCTTGCGTATAAAAGAAACCACAGCTTTTCTTGGTCACCATTTTTTCTAAAACTTAGATGGGGCTTATACTTTTATAGTTCTTGTAAGAAGAAAAGACTCCAATCTAGCATCAGTTCAGAAACAGGACAGGTAAAAACTGGATAATTAAGAGAACTAGTATTACACGATTGTGGTTGAGTTCTATTAAAATATAGGTACTTGTTTGAGTACATTTTTTCACTCTGACTACATAGCAGTGTCTCTGGCCAATACCATGTATCCAATCATTTGTGTCAGAAAATGCACAATTGAGTACTGGGGAAAAATTGCATGTTCAATGGAGAGAATATGAGACTCTGTGGCAATAGTGATTGATTAAGGCAGTTGTCTTTGGCATTTGCTGGATCCACACTCCCTTGTTGTGCTTAACTATTCCTCATATCTAATGAGGCAGAGGCAATCTTCACTGACAGTATTCCACACACTACTGTCCCTGTCACCTAAGGTATTTTGGTCTCATGCATCTCAAACAAGCATTTATTGTTCTAAACAAGGCACACTTCCGGAGAGAAAGGGAATGACTTATTTTATTTTATTTTTTTCTCTCCGAGTTTATTTCTCCCACATTTTGAGCTCCAGGAAGCTGGTTTGTTTGTTTCTCCCTGAGACCAATCTCACAAAAAAAAAAAAAATCATCATCATCATCATCATCTCCATGTGTATTTACAAAGGTACTCTAAAATTTAAAGAATTCAACTCAATATATTGGTGTTGAATTTCTGCTATTAGAAAAGAAATCATTTGAGATAGTGAGAACTTTTATCAATTCATCTTGGAAAAAACTTATATTTAAAATGTGGATTGTTCTGCCATACTATGCTTGGCAGTTTACTGTGGTGCCGAGTTTTTCTTATTAGCTCCACCTGTGGCATTCATAAAGCATTAATTGAATTGCAGCATTTGAGGAATGTCTTTGAAAAATATCTTTTTAAAAGTAGCAAAATGATCAAGAGAATAAAATGTAGAAAAACAAAACAAAATAAAATGTGGATAAGAATTGCTAAGGTGCCAGTAGCTAGTTTACCATGACAAACTTGATGATCAGTGAGCTCTCAGTCCCAAGCTGTGACGATGTGAATACTTTGGTACGGAGATATTAAAAAAAAAAAATAAAGTGTGAATCAATCCCAAAAAGGCTTTTTCAAGAGAAGAAGTCAATGAAATGAAAGAAAAGCGAGGAAACTCTGACCACAGCCAGAAATCCCAGCTCCCCTCAGCCGTGGGCGTGGTCTGAGGGAAGGGCTCAGCGTCCCCGCTCTCTGATGGCCCTGGTGCTTGTCTCCCCGGTGCGTACACACTGCAACCCCTCAGACTCAGGGGCATTTGCAACTCTGAATGTTGGCAAACAGCCTCCCATCTTCCCAGCAAATCAGATGGTGATTCTGGCCATTACTTCTAACTCTTGCTTTTCTCTCATCTTCTCTAGACAATTACTTTCCAAGACTTTTTGATTTCTCTCCATGGCTGTTCCACACTTTCACTTGACTTCCATGCTCACTGTTCCCACTGTTGTCTGGAAGCTTATCACATCAATGTTAGCTCATTGAAATGGTCATCTAACAGTTTTACAGTCATTCATCACATATTTAAAATATTTGGGCACCTGGGTGGCTCAGTCAATTGAGCATCTGCCTTCAGCTCAGGTCCCGATCTCAGGGTCCTGGGATAGAGTCCCGAGTTGGGCTCCCTGCTCAGCAGGGAGTGTGCTTTTCCCTCTCCTGCTGCCCCTCCTCCCGGGCTCATGCTCTCTCTCTCTCTCTCTCTCTCTCTCTCTCTCTCTCTCCCCCCCTCTCAAATAAATAAATAAAATCTAAAAATAAAAAAGTAAAAAAAAATAAAAAGCAAATATCTACTGAAGCCAATCATGCCATCCATCGTTCTAAAAACTGGGAATCTTGGAAAAACAAAACAGTGTATGTAGTGTCATCAAGCTCCCATTCTAGGGGGCAGAGGAGACTGACACTGATAATTAAATCAATGAAGAAGAGAATTTCAGATGGGTGTTATATAACAAGAAAAAAAATGCATCTGATGACATAGTAGCAAGTGACTAGAGAAAAATAATATGAGGATAGAGGTCCTAAAGGAAGTTACATTTGAAGAGGGACTTTAATGACAAGATGGAGCCAGGCGTAAGTTGTTTGGCAAAACAAGTTCCCAGAAGCAGGCAAGGGCAGGTGCAAAACTCAGAGGCTGGAGAGAAAAGGAAAAAGAAAGAAAGAAAAAAACAAACTTGACATTTCGTTTAGAGAAAGGCGTTATAAGGTCTGCGAGAGAGATGTTAAGAGAAGAGTAGGAGGGAGCAGAGTTGGAGAGATCGGCCAGGGCACATGAAGGTAGAGTGGGTATTTTACCCTAAGGCATGGGAAACCAGTAGAGATTTGTAAAAGTGGCATCCGTATGATCGCTAATCTACTCAGCACCCACAGCTGCGCTAATCTTCTGTCTTGTTTATTACATTACAGCCTTGCCTATAACCCCAAATTAACTTCCAGCCCAACAAAAATTCCTGTGATCTATCCTCCCCAACTACTCTGTGCAATTTCTTTCCTTTTCCTTTTGACTTAGCAGAGCTCATCTGCTGCACTGAGCTGCCTTCTTCCCCACCTAAATCCCCTCCTCTCTGAGCACTTCACAGGGCTGTCCCTTCTCTGAAATCTGCCCCAGGTACATGGTCTCTCCTGATGGGATGTAAGCAATGTACCATTCCTCAGTAGCTCTGACCACTTAAACCACAAAGTTCTTCCGTAAAGCCTAAGGCCAGTTCTTTGGAGTTGATTTCAAAGAGTCATCCGCTGCTCAGACTTCCAACCCCTCCCATCCCTAATCTATCCTCACAAGGGCTTGTGACAAACCAGCTGCTTTTAGAAAACACTTCTTTCTTATCAGGAGAATGGAATTATAGTCCTTGCCTGGACCTTGCCCTTTTAAGACCTGGGTTAATTTTCCTCTGAAGAATCCCCACACTGAAACTCGACCGCCATCCGGAGCCTTGGTCTTCACTGGAGTCTTCACTCAGGCCCATATAATTGTCTGGTTCAGAGTAGTTCTTGTCCCATGACACCAGTCCTCTCTCATCAGAGCCCCTCCGCATATCTTCAGCTTTAACCTGAAGAGCCCCCAGGTGTATGTTCTTCCCAGGTGTATGTCCCAGGCATACATTCCTTTCATTGCCCTGTTTTTTTTTTTCTTGCCAAAATCTTTACCTCGTACAAAAATTGAATGGGGAAATTGCGCATGCACACACATACACACACACATACACACACTCACACTTACAGTTCAACCTATAATTCCTATAATTCCTTGCATACATATTAACTATTTCTTGAGTCAGTTTGAGCGTTCTAGAGACTTCTTCAATGACATGATTGCCACGAGACTGGTTATGTTCATTTCCAGCTCCAAAGTAAGGGACATCTAGGCATTTTTTCTTTGTCAGTAGGTGTCCTTCTTTCTTATTCACCAGACAGGAAACTGGCTATAATCTATGACTTCCCCACCATCTGTCAATTATTTTTCAAGTCCTGCTGAATCTTTGCCCTAATCGTCCTTTTCCCAATCACTTCTTCAAAATCACACCAAGCTGCTATGGCCACACCCAAGTCTATACTCCTTCTCTGATCAGGTATGCACCCACATATGTATCAATTTTCTTAAACCTTCTATTCATATTCAGTCTCCTGAACAGTAATTTTAACTGGTTCCCTGCATATAAAATAACACTAACTCCCTTCTCTTCATCACCTGGTCTCTCCAACTGCTTTCCAAAATGACTAAACCACACCCCTGTTTTTTTTAAATTTAATTTTATTATGTTATATTAATCATCATATGTTTCATCATTAGTTTTTGACGTAGTGTTCCATGATTCATTGTTTGCGTATAACACCCAGTGCTCCACGCAGAACGTGCCCTCTTTAATACCCATCACCAGGCTAACCCATCCCCCCAACCCCCCCCCCCCTGCAACCCTCAGTTTGTTTCCTGTCACCCCTCTGTTTTTAAAAAACCCATCCCCAGAGGGACTCTGCTTTTCATGTGAAATCTGATACTCTATTTCTTTCCCCTCTTCCCTCTTCCACCCATCCATCCTAGTACCCCAGCTAGCACGCAATTCACATCTCAAGGTCCCCGTGACCCACCCAGCCTGCAAGGACTTAAAGACTGATGCTGAAGCATGGATTAAAACTGTAAAAAGAAAGAATTGTAAGTGTCCTTGGCATTGAGTGAGGAGTTGTGACAAGGTACCAGTCTGTTGTTCAGCTGGTCTTTATAGGGAAGAAGCCACGGCCCTTCTTGGTTCTCAGTTCTCTTAAGATTGTACCATGTATTGAATCTAAATTAAAAAATAAATTTTAAAATCTAAAAAAAAGATGATGTTGGGCACACGATTTAGTATTTCTTAAAATAGTAATAATACCTCTATCCAACATCATAAGGAAGCAAAACAGGTAAATTAGGGGAGGATTAGATGTTCTTCCAGTGTTTTGTTTTGTTTTGTTTTGTTTGCTAAAGGGATGACATTTATTCCTTTTCCAAATGTTACAGCAAAACCAGGTGGAAGAGAATGGTTTTAGCATACAATGTCCAATTCAGCCTCACAAGATATATGCTAAGTTAGCTGATTCGATAGGTACATTAAAGCAAATTGAAAAAGTCTGCTTGGGACTCCGGCCTAGACCTTAGATCCCTGCAAATGTTTTAAAGCTAAGACATGTACCACAAATCTATCTTGTTTTTTCTGAGGCACTGCTTAACACCTCCTTCCTTCCCCTCTACAGTAACTTTTTGCCACACTGCCCTGTAAATCCCTGCCCACTTAACTAACACTTTCCCCCACCCAGAAAACTTCTTCCCCATTCTATCACCCACCAAGATCCTCTAGAATCCTCCCATAATGTCTGTCTTCCCAAAGGAGCTCTTATTTTTTTCCAAGTCTCCTCCCACCCCTCAGCCAATGAAACTTTTCTCCTTTAACACAAGAGTGAAAGATGGAGAAGACACAATATTAATTTCTGATTATTGAATAGAATGAACTTTATTAAACAGAAACTGCTCTCAAGGCCAAACCCAAATGCCCATGTGCAGAAGGAGGACGCTGAGGACACAGAAGGGTACTGCTGAACTGGAAAGAGGACTCAGTGGTACTTGTGGGCCAGAGCAGTGGCAACACCAGCCACCAGCTTCTGCCAAGCGGCCTGCACGCCGGGGGTGAATTCCTTGCCAAAATGAGAAGCCAGAATGATCACCAGTACGTTGCCCAGGAGCTGTTAGGTGAAAGAGAAAATGACAAATAAGCATGTTGAGTAGAAGTTCTCAAAAAGAATTGCAGAAAAAGTGGCTCAATACCTATACTCCCTGCCAAGCCCACACTTAATTCTCCGAGGTGTGTGCCTGCAAAAAGCTTCGATAAGCTAGTCCCTAAATTCAATATAATGAGTGAGCTCTCCATTCAACTCCCTGCCTCCCTATGTCCCATCCTCTCTCCCAAGCCACCATTTTTATTTGCAACTCTCCCTCCCTCTCTTATCTACCAACTGGTTAATTCCTGTAATAATGGGATTTTAGGGCTGCACGGGTGCCCAGAGTGAGTTTATTTAAAGTCTCCAATCGGTGCAGGAACAAGCCTCCCTTTGGTAACGATACTGACAGGTAGTTTAATATATTTTAGAGAACTTGTTGTATATTTCTTTGAGACAGTCTGTCTAAATATTTTTCCCCCAAATCTCTCCCTAAACTTTAGTCAACAGGACCCACGTAAAATAGACTTTTCACCTTCCTTGAGACAGAACTTTATCTACCAAACCCCAAATTCCATTCCTCCTTGAACAAGTCTGCTATTCTCTGATGTCATTCTCTAGGATGAACACATCCAGTTCTGACAAAAGTTCTTGAAAACTTTTAAGCAAACTCTGGTTGCTAATAGCCCTTTACTGTCACTAGTCCTGAATCAAGGTGGTCCTGGTTATGCACAAGGGTGATGTGTCCTTCTAACACCAAGTTCGACCCATGATTTCTGAAATTTTTGTTAGTCTTTCCAATCAAAGTCTCAACTTCCATTATTATCTCAAAGTGAAAAGTAATAAAAGAGCACATGAACATTTCCTGACTCACCCTGAAGTTTTCAGGATCCACGTGCAGCTTGTCACAGTGCAGCTCACTCAGCTTAGCAAAGGCGCCCTTGAGATTGTCCATGTTCTTAATAGCATCTCCAAAGGAAGTCAGCACCTTCTTGCCATGGGCCTTGACCTTGGGGTTACCCATGATGGCAGAGGCAGAGGACAGGTTGCCGAAGTTGTCAAAGAACCTCTGGGTCCAGGGGTAAACCACCAGGAGCCTACGTGATGGAACCATAGCAGATGGGAAATCAGAGACTTTCAAAAATCTTGAGGAATTTCCTGGTCAATTGGCCAGATTCATATTCACCACTCTTTCCCATGCCTTGAAACCCAGTGCCTACCTGCCCAGGGCCTCGCCTCCAGCCTCTTCCACATTCACTTTGCCCCATAGGCTAGTGATAGCAGTCTTCTCCTCGGCACTAAAATGCACCATGATGTCAGGTCTGGGAGCTTACAGGTGATCAGAGAGAGAAGTAGGTATGTGTTGCTGCTGGAAGCTCTCACCTTTTATTCCTTACTGCTGACCTTCTGGTCCCTTGTTCCTCCTAGTTCTTTGAAGTCATTGGTCAAGGCTGAGCTGTGTCCCTCAGGGGTGGAGTCAGGTCAGGAAAGGGTCAGCAATGAAGAATGTACACCGAACTTGTGATAATGTGTATTGGTTCCTGAGACAGCCTTCCTTTGTTGGCTCCTCCTCTGTCCTCAACACAATTTACCATTCATTCTCCCTTTCACCCTCTTCTCTCCCCAGGTGATCCTCCAAGATGACATCCATCTTTCCCTTCTTCTTCTCCAAGAAAAACCTATAGAAAGGAGCTAAGCCCAAGATAGGGCAAGAGTTTCAGTCAAAACAGTTTTAATATTTGAGTTAAAGATGATGACAGGGACAAGAACAGAGTCAAAAAGAAAAAAGTACAGTTGTTGACACAGAATCTCAGCGAGTTTTAACTCGAGGAGTGGATTATAACCAAGCCTCTGGTTCTTAGTTTTCCAAAGGAGACAAAACACATACGTGGTTATTTCAGGAAGCTGAACAGAGTAACAAGGGATCCAAGGGATCCAATAGGACTAAGACCTCAATCCCAAAGTACAATACCTGAGGGTAATTTCATAAAAAGGACAGAAAGAATAAACTCATGTCCTGTGCTTCCCTGGAGCCCTCTCTCTGTCCGTTTCTCTGTGACTTCAGGGGAAATTGGCTACCTTGGGGAGATTTCCCTGAGCTCTTTTCTTGATTTTCTGCCCCACTAATACTTTTTTAATCAGTGAGACAGCTGAGGACTCTGCAATTATTTAAAACCAGGACTTGTGGTGCACCTGGGTGGCTCAGTCATTAAGTGTCTGCCTTCGGCTCAGGTCATGATCCCACGGTCCTGGAATCGAGCCCCGCGTCGGGCTCCCTACTCCGAGGGAAGCCTGCTTCTCCCTCTCCTACTCCCCCTGCTTGTGTTCCCTCTCTCTCTGTGTCTCTCTCTCTGTCAAATAAATAAATAAAATCTTTAAAAAATAAAAATAAAACCAGGACTTGTGATCAAGCTGAGAAATAGATGAACTGGCAGGTAATTAGGCTAGAGGTTGGAGTATGTTCAATGTTTGTTGCAGCCATAGGTGCCAGAGGCTTCAAATGCCTCTAGTGTCCTTTTGTTTGTTTATTTGTTTGTTGTTTGTTTGTTTGTTGATGCCACTCTTGTCTTTGGACTTCCCTAAAAACTCAGCATGAAATAGAGTCTGCACCTTGCAACTTTTTCAATTGCAATCCACTGTTATTAGTCTGGAGTCCAGTTGGTATGGTGGTAAGGAATGTTGGAGGAGAAACATTCTATAGTTGTATAATTAAGTTTCAGTCTTTAATGGACCAGTGTTCCTGGGCTGTGACTTTCACAGTGTTTGTTAGCTTCCCCCCCCCCGCCTTTTTTTTTTTTTAAAGATTTTATTTATTTATTGGACAGAGAGAGACAGCGAGAGCAGGAACAAAAGCAGGGGGAGTGGGAGAGGGAGAAGTAGGCTTCCTGCTGAGCAGGGAGCCCGATGTGGGACTCGATCCCAGGACCCTGGGATCATGACCTGAGCCGAAGGCAGACGCTTAACGACTGAGCCACCCAGGCGCCCAGCTCTTCCCCTCTTAAGAAAGTCAGGAAAACCTCCCTGGACTAGACTATATATGTTACAGAGTTGAAAAGCAGCATATCTGTAGCTCAGTTCAAGGCTTATCAATTCTGATTCTGAAGTCAGTTTAGGACGGCTGAGTATAGTCTCTTACAGCTTAGGTGCTTGTTGATTCAAGCTACATTATCTCAGCTGCTCATTTGAAGTACTTTACTTCAAATATGAAATATTATTGTTTCCCTTTCTTGGATGAAAAACCCAGGCTTTTTCATGAGTGACATGATTAGAGATAAGTGATATGATTATCCAGATAGATCAGAAAGATTAAATCATCAGAAAAAGTAAACAGTAAGAATATTTATTACATATAAAATTAAAAAATTAATAAAGTAAAAACATGTTGTCTTAAGGTATTTAAATTAAAAGACTTTTTAAAAAGAAATTCCACATTTTTTTTAAAAGATTTTATTTATTTATTTATTTGACCTAGAGAGACACAGAGAGAGAGGAAACACAAGCAGGGAGAGTGGGAGAGGCAGAAGCAAGCCTCCCGCCAAGTGGGGAGCCCGATGCTGGGCTCCATCCCAGCACCCTGGGATCATGACCTGAGCCGAAGGCAGACGCTTAACCGCTGAGCCACCCAGGCGCCCCAAGAAATTCTAAGTTTTGATAAACATTAATTCCTGCCTCTCAGGTGTTCTGTAGCATTTGTACTTTTGTAAGCTCTCTGAAGGATTTTAAGAAATTTAAGATGTCTCCTAATCAGGAAAAAATAAAATATTTTCTTTTTTTTTTTTTAAAGGTTTATTTATTTATTTATTTGACAGAGAGAGAGAGACACAGCGAGAGAGGGAACACAAGCAGTGGGAGTGGGAGAGGGAGAAGCAGGCTCCCCGCTGAGCAAGGACCCTGATGCGGGGCTTGATTCCAGGACTCTGGGATCATGACCCAAGTTGAAGGCAGATGCTTAACGACTGAGCCACCCAGGCGCCCCTAAAATATTTTCTTAAATCTCTATAGTTAATTTGTGACACATAGAAATCCTATGAGTCAAATATTATATCTTTAGGTGCTATTCGTGTGGATTATATAAGTCACGCTGTTGGTAGGTAAGCTAGCTCTGTGGCCCCACTACATGGTTTTCATAGTATTATCTGAGAAAAATTACTCCAAAATTATTCTTCACCACAAATGAGCTTTTTTTTTTTTAATTTTTGAATTTTAAAAGTAGAAAATCATGGATAAGGTTTATAAACCACTGAAGCTATAAAAAGCTGTGTAGGATTCCTTATTAGAGAGGCTATCAGTCTGCTTCCATTATGCGTGTGAATTTATAGCCTCATAACAGAAATAGACGGTATCTATCAAAGGTTCCACGAGGTGTTGCATCCACCTAGAATAAGTTGGTTACCATGAGTAGCAAGAGATTCCTGTGGCTGCCATGCAGGAAGCCAGGGAACATTTTCTGTTCACCAAAAGAATGAGAGAACAGACCACACTGATAGCAGGCAACACGGCTGCTTTCTAAGTCCCGTGCTGCCAGCTCGGCACCATCTCTCACAAAGGCTGTAGGTGAGTCAGCCAGAGCTGGGTTTTGTTCTCAGCGTGAATTCTCCCAGTTGGCAGCTTACGATATGAACATCAGTGGTCTGGCCTCTGGGATCACTGTGCCTAAGGCATAGCCAGAGATGTGTGTGAATGTTAATTAAGCAAAAGGGAGAGGAAATGGAGGGCCAGAACTCAGTTACTGCACACTTTTCCACATGATGAAACTGGAAGGTTAAAACTTGAATCTAGCAGCTTAGATAGTCATAAATTTCCCATTTCTTCAGAAATGTAGCTCTATTTTCTTGCTTTCCTTGATGCTTTTACACCTTAAGTAAAGTTGCCTTCATCTATTTTTGTGATTTGTTTTCAAAAACAGGGAATTCCTGTTTTTTCCCTGTTTATTGCAAATAATATTGCCCAATGTACTTTATGAACTAAGAAAAATATAGAAAAACATACTGTAAAGGAGTGACTCCATTATTAGAGCCAGTGTTTTCTAATCTTCCTTCCCTTCAGTTTACTGCACTACTATGAGTTATTAGTCCATATCCCATGGCTCTAACCTAAGTCAAGTAATGATTTAATAAACTTTATCCAAGTAGAGTACCTCTGAAGCATGCATAAACCCACTATTTAGATTGCTACCTACGGTTGATTCAAATGGGACTCTTCTAGGTATAGGGCTTAGAATCTTGCATATAGAAGTGATGGAAAAGATCCAATTTTATGCTAAGCTTCCGTGTCTGCTACTAGAAGATTGGGAAGTCTTTGACTTGGTGACTTTTGAATTCTACAAAACATTTAATGCTTTTTTTTTTTTTTTTTTTTTAATCCCTATTCATGTTATCTTCAGCACTTTGGGTATTCAGTATTGAAGCTATGGCATAACATGTTTCCTGAATAGAAAATTTACATCTTTCTGGAAAAGGATAAATTTGAGGTTTGGTAAGTAAGCAGGGCTTAAATTGAAGCAGTAATGGTTATGGTTGGACCCCATCCATTAACAAGATCATCCACCACAAGGAATTATGAGAAACTAGCACCCTTTGTTTTGTAGACCTAGTGGGGGCAGCTAGTCATCGCTCCTCCCCTAAACCCTTTGTAGCCCTTGCTAATTCTAGCCCCAGGAGGGTTCTTTCTGAAACCAAGTTCCCTATTTTACTGAGTTTGAGGCATCTGAGGGGGAAAGGAATTTCTCCTAGATTCCTAGACCAACGAGCTAATGTAGCACTTCTCTGTAGTCCAGCCAATTCAGTCCCTAAGGTCACCAATCTTTTCCTGTCTCTGTCTTCTTCAGGTTTGCTAATTCATTTGCTTTCTGGAATTTGGGGGGCTTTTATTTCATTTTGTTTTGTTTTTAATCAATAGAGGCAGGCAGATCCAGTGTTTTTTCTCCTTCTAGAGACTTGAGAGGGTGATAGCTGGGTGGGGTCAGAAACTGTGGGCATAGATAAGAGCTCAAGACTACATAGAACTGTGGCAAGGGAGGGACTAAGACACTGAAGACAGTGAAATCCAGAGTGCTTCTCTTACTGTCTTCGAAGACCCTATCCTTGGTTCTTACACATCAACAAATGCAAGAGATTGTGGGTTAGTGTTTGAAGGTCCTGTAAGGTTAACTGCTCAGAAGTGCCTGATAAATATGTTCTGTGTAATATGTATGTGTGTGTGTGTGTGTGTGTGATCACAAATATGTGAGTATTATCAGAATATAAAGGCCACAGTGACTAGATAATGGGCAAGGCCTACGAAGCCAGGGGAATAAATTGCATTCTCTAAATTCAACTGAGATCAAAAGATAAATTTAGTGAAAAAAGAGACTCAAAGTCACTTGAAAGAGACAGAATGACTTCCAGGCCAGAAGCTCTTACTTATAACCTTATGAAATATTCTGATGTATATATAAAAACATGCCAATCATTATAGAGTTGACCAATAAGGAAAGGATAGGAAAAAGGAAG